ATAAATAAAACTATTTTTATATTAACTACTTAAATTAATAGTTTTAAGCTTGAACTAGACTTCATACTTTTAAATAAATATGTTCAAGACATATCTATATACTTCTTTTCGCAAAAATATCTATGAATAAATTCTTTAGCAAACCTGAAAAATAAATATTAAACAATGCAATAATATAATAATATTTAACAATATATAGCTAAAGAAAAACAAACACTTTACAGGATGGGTGGGTTGTAGTGGAGAAGTAGGGATAGTAGGATACAGAGATGAATTGTATGTTCAGTGAAACTTGTCTTAACAGATACCTGTATATAATGGACAAAATAATATGGTCCCAGCAAAAACGATAAGCATTCCAAATTGCTGTAGTCCATTAATGACTCGAAGACTTTTTTTATTTCTCATAACCAATTTTATTGACAAAAATGAGGACTCATCAAGATTGTCCATCAATTCATTTTTTTATATGAACAAGTTTGTTAGTTCGTCATTTATTTAATAGAAATAGATCATTTAATGATATATGAAAAGGATATATGTTTATTAAATTTATTGAACTATTGAACAATAGATATTAAACAATTCATTGGTCATTCAACACCACTTAATTTTTTAAAAAAAATGTGTAATATATTATTATTCAGTACATCTAGAACGAGAAAACATATTTACTCATTTACAAGCATAACTATAGTTATAGATGCATAATTTTTCATTAATTGAACATTCTGAATATTTGTTGATTATATAAAATATACTAATTCATTGCATATTGCTGTTCATTCAGAAACTAATTGTTTAATAAACTAGGTCATTTATGATTGATAAATGTCTAGTTTGCAGTTTACCATTTGGTAATTTTTGATTTTTACACTATACAGTATACAAGTACTAAGTTGATACTTACATCAAAAAATCTTCAATCTCAGAAACAATCCTTGCTAAGTTAGCATTAGTAAAATTCGTGCACTTTACAAAATACTTTGGAATGTCCACTGAAAAATGATAGCAAAATATTATTATAATAAATTAAATTATTTTTCTTAATTTTCTAATAGTTATACAACATAATTAAGGTATATTATGTAAATCACATACTGGATGAAATATTAAATAGTTGATAAAAAATTATAAAATCTCTTCTCTTTCACTTCATCCCTATAATGTTGGGATCAGCTACCCTAGTCCTTAATTTCAAATACAATATAGTCAGTCCCACAACACTTGTAGAATTTATATAAGTCTCATTGGAATTTACTTGTCACAAAACATCTGCCACTTCTCTCCACTTTACCCAATCATACTTAATTCTATGTTACACATCCTCTTCATTTTTTATTCCCACATACATCTGAGATAAGATAATTTGGCCAAGCCTTGTTTAGGACTCCTTAAACTATTGGAGTCTTCACTCTTTATCACATCCATTATAATTGTAGTTAAGAACAACTCAAGCTCTGCATTTTTCTTATTCCTCATTCTCCACTGATATCATTCATAACTAGTACAAAGATTTTTGTTTAATACATTTTTTTGGTTTTTTACTGGGGAAATAAAATATTTAAAAGAGTCCATTAATAATGTTTTGCTTATTTTTAGAGATTCTTTAATAAATGTATAGGACATAAATTTATTTAGTTATTTAGGGTATGAAGTCCCTACTCATAATTATAAAAAATTATGTGTAAGAAGATACATATAAGTTTAACATACTTAATAATCTTAGAAGATATATCGGATGATATATATGATGCCAATATACGCCTTTAGGAACCAATATATTATTAAATATTTCTTCTATTGATCCTCTTTGAATTTTTGTAGATAAATGATTTTCAGCCTATAACAATACAAATAAAATAAAATGTAATCAAAAATTATTTATAAAGTTCAGTGGCGTTACAAACTTTAGTTAATATCATTATAGCAAATCATTTTTTTACAACCACTGACCACCCCAATCCAGCAATTTAAACAATATCCATAGCCATTATAATATAGCTACACATCAGCAACATATCCTTCTTATTAATCATTTAAATTTCACAAAAAACCTATCCTATACAATTCAAAAACAGCCATTTCTGAAAACCATAATTTGCTACACCACTGATATAGTTCATCATGTTCACAGAAACATAGACCACATATCTGGATACTATATACTTACTTTTGAATTCTGTTAATGATATAAAAAAAACTAGACTATTGGGTTAAAAATTTGTTTAATCTGTATATTTCCCCAATGGGAATCACAGCTTCACTTGTTTTAAATGGGAACCCCTAATTTTAATATCATACTCAAATTTGTCAAACTTTGTGAATTAATTTTGATGTATTAACTTGTATTCTAATTCCAAATTTGACTGAATTAGACACAATTTAAATGAAACTATTATTCAAGTTTTTTTTATAACAAACAATACAAAATAAATGTATACATTTGAATAAATTAAAACTATATGTAGTATAAATTGGAAATGAAACTGCTGGCATTAATAAATTTTCAAACTTTAAAAACAAAATAATTATTTCAGTATTAAAAAAAAAAAATGAAGAACATAATTTGCATGATGGGCTGTGCACTGTTGCAGGTGAGAAGTTGGAAAAGCAGGATAATTCATTATATATGTACAGCATGATTTAGCATGATCACTTCATTTTTTTGATTAAATTTTGCATGTATTCAAATTCTGATTTTTAAAATTTGTAATTGTAGTTAAAGCTAATATTATTGAATACTTAAATTTTTTATTACATTCAAGGAATATCCCTATGGCAATACCAACTTTAGTTTTTCAAATTAGAACCTATATTAAAAATTCCATAAATACACTATAAATAGAGTATTACTTTAAATAAATTTTGATTTGAACATTTTTAATATCTGTGAATCCCTTAATGAGATATTCCACTTTTAAGTTTTAATATAGGGAGAACAGTGAAGTATGATTTGTGTGGGGGCATACTGTAGTGCTCTACTACTCTCCCCTTACCTAAATTTAAATGTGAAATATTTGTCAATGGATTAACATAATTAAAAAATTTTATCACCAAAATGTATTTAAAATAATACTCTATTTATGGAATTTTAAATGTAGGTTCTCACTTCAAAAACCAAAGTTGGTATCACTACAGGTTACTTCTTAAATATTGTGAAAATTCTAAGTATTTAAAAATATTGGCTACATTTAAAAATTCCAAAAATCAGAATTTGAAAATAGGCAAAATTTAACCAAAAGAAGCGCGCTTAGAGAAACACTCTGTACAATATTTTTAACTAAATTACAACAAAAACAAATTTGAAAATAATAAAAGCATTATTAGCATAGGTTTTCTACTCATTTTTTTTTTTTGCTCAATTATTTTAAAATCAAAGACTTTTAGGCACCAACTAAATTAAAAATGCAACAACAATGATCTCATGTAATTTGTTTTAATGAAGCAATATTTCCAGTATAAAATATAGTGTAAATATTTAATATAATGAAATAGTAATGTTATAAATTTAACAGTTTTCATTTTGTTTTTTTCCCCAATTATGAAAACTGCTTGGAAAATCAACTTTCTTCTTGAGCAACAAGATCCAAAATGCAATAAAAATGGTCTCTTATTATTTTTTGATTAAAGCAAAATTTTTAGTAAAAATATTTTACAAAAATATAAATTAGAAAATAGAAATTGTTGCTGTAAATATTAGTCTGTTTATCCTTACTTATTTTTCAATTATTATAAAAACCCCTTTGAAAATCAAAAATGGCATCCCTAAAATATGAACTAGATAAAATATTCTTTCAGAAAAGATGTTACACTCAATATATTGAAGCAAGATGTCTAGTAGAAATGTTTTACACAGTATAAAAAAATTAATTAAACATAATAAATCAATACATTCCTTACTAGGTTCCAAATAAAAAAAAATTTTACTAGAAGTCATATTTTAAAATACTTAGCCTTTTCATACATTTTTAGATTACAGAGAACATGCAATCTATAAATACATTTTTGCTTAATTAATCCAACAATTTCACAATAAATTCATTAGTTTAATAATGTAATTAGATATTTAAATCAAATAAAATCATCATTTTAGATCTTTTCAGGAACATCAGATATGTAAGCAAAAATTAGAATATTTGAAAATAATTCATCACCATTTACCTTAATTTAATAAAAAATAAATTAACAATATTTGATACAAGTTTATCATACTTATCAGGAAGTCTCATGAAGATATTATACCCATTGTAATATCCCCTCAGATAATGAAGATAATCAAATACTGTTTTTTTATATATATATATATTACTCACTGGGACAATGACTATAAATATTTATATCTCAATTAATTTTTTTATTTGTTTTAATATTTTTGAAATATTTGAGGTTAAATTTGAGTTCATTCATCTGAAAAATTGTATGTGTCAACTTTTTATTTTCATTAAATTCGTGAATTTTAATAATTTTTTGAAGTACAGAGAAAATAAGTGAATAGTCAATGAGTTATAATAATCAATTGGAGAATAAAATTATAGCCTTCTAATTAATATTATAGGTACTTTCCTCTGAACTTTAATAATTATTAAAAATAACAAATTTAATGAAATTAAAAAGTTAATATTTCAAAAATAATAAAATTAAAAATTAATTAGAATATAAATATATATTTAATATTTATAAATATTTGTAGTCCTTATCCCTGTAAGTAATATAAAAAAAAATAAAATACAGAATTTGATTATCTTTATTATCTCCGGGGATATTACAATGGGTGTATCTTCATGAAACACCCTGTATTGTGTATCCAACTTCATAAAAACTATATATTTAGTATCCAGTTAATAGTATAACAATGTAAATTAACCAAAAACCTCAAAATTGAGAGAAAAACTAGTAGAATTGTAGACAGCTGTCCTACTAAAAATAAAGATTAAAATTAATAAAATATTATTTAATAATCAGTAATATTATAAAGTATTAGAGAAATACTAAAAAAATGTGTTTAGAATACAAAAAATAAATTACCTTTTTGTGTAATCCATATTGTAATTCTTCAGTGTACAACAATTTATCATGAATTAGTAGATTGAAATATTGAATCAATGTTAGACTCATTAGCAATGCATTTTCCCTAAAATAATTTTTTTTTTTTTTTAGAGAAAAAAAAGTTGATACTGTTATAGGTGATTATATACAGCTAAATTTAAACCTAATAAGGGCACTATGCCCTAAAAAATTTTGGGACCACTGTACTAACAAAACCAAATTATTACCTTATTGGCTGCTTTTCATTTATTTTCCTACATACATAGCTACGTAATAATCTTTCAACAGTACAATTTTTTGGAAATTGTAATACCTAACAAAAAGTAAACACAATTATACACTTGAAAAGTATATTAATTATCAATACATACTTTATTACTTTGTTTAATAAAGACATGGTCTGTGACGAGTAATTTTTTTAAATCATTTGGCATAGTTATTTTTGGTATTATTCTTGTCTCTGAAGGTCTTTTGTTAAATACAGAAATTACCTCCCTCATTCCCATTAATTCTGAAAACAACTCATAATTTATTTTTATATCAGTTGGTTCTCTGTCACTTTTATCATCTACATCAGATTCATCCACATTTTTAATTAAATCATTTTCTTCAATCCACATATACTCGTCAGATTCATATATCTGGTTGGTTTCATAAATTTCTTCATCACTATCAATATATTCATAAGATCTTTCATCTACTTCTTCAGTTTCGTCTATTTCTTCAGTTTCATCAATTTCTTCAGTTTCATCAATTTCTTCAGTTGCCTCTATATTATTAGGGTCATTTACTTCAGGTGTTTCAGAGGTTTTTCTTTCTTCAGTTATTTCAATACTAATTTTTGAAGGACGACGACCTAAGTGGAACAAATTGTTATGTTAAATAATTAAAATAAAATAAAATAAATGTTCAGTAAAATATAAATTACCTCGTTTTTTTGGTTTGGATTCTTGTGGAGATGGAATTTCAGAAATTTTAGATTTTCTTTTTTTTGCGGTGGGTGTAGTATTTTTCTGGGTATTTTGAACCGTTTCTTCTTTAACAATGGTAGTACTTGACCGTTTTGTTGCCCCTTTTTTTGAGTGTAAACTATATATTGAAAATTGAAATAAATGTATTTAATAAATTATATTTCCTAATTATAAAAGATACTTGTTTGATATTGTCCCACCCAATTTAGTTATGATACACATGGTATGATATAACCTTAGCTCGTTTCACTAGCCATCTTAGGTGTAAGCTCATCGAACTACTAACTAAAAAAACTCCCGATTTGTTAACAAAACTGCATGGTAGCAAATACATTTATAATGGTGGCGAAAGCTATAACAAACAAGAACCTTATAAAGGTAGTAATTTATTTCAAATTATTTACTATATTTCTTTTAATGATGCCATTTTGCTCATATTGGCATCATTCACTGGTAATGCTCGATCGCCATCCACCCATTCTTCCCACTTTCTGTTCCAACCTTTATAATGCACAAAATATTGTGCTTTTCCATCAGTTTTCTTCCGTTCCAAACATTTTGCTTCATACAACATTGGTCCATGGTAACACAACAAACTATCACCTAATTAAAACAAATAATATTATCATCAAATTTTCTACACAACTTAACTATACCTACACATTTAAAAAATCTACTTAAAAGTATTAAACCATTGCATACAGTACAATTTAAAATTGAATAAAAATACTAAATATATCTTATTATGAAAAAAGGACATATTTTGAATTCTTTTAATATCATTTGACAATCGAAAAGTACGAATAAAAATAGTTTAATAATTTTTTAATTGCAATTCAAATTATAGAGAAAATAGAAATTAATTTGACAAGACGTAGATATGAGTTTCAACAACAATGTTGATTGACAAACGTCTTTATCTAACCCAAATCTATTATTGGTCAAAATATCGAATCATTTGAATGCATTATATACAAATACAATTCCACCATAAGCTGATTAGAATTTTCCACTGTATGATAAAACTGTACAGCGAAATAAACGAAACGATAATTTTAACTCATTAAGTTCAAGACAACATTGTCTAAATATATTCTTGTGAATTATCTATGTTGAAAACCTTGTGAATAATTATAAATTATACTCGTAGCAATATAAGTGATAGATTCCATACACTTACCCACGGCGAATCGATACTTCTTTGCCATCGTTCGATTGAAAACTAACTAAGAGAATATAGTTTACATAAATATAGAAATTCAATTATTAGAAAAAATTACAAATTAAAAACAATGAGACAGTAACAACCATAGACTTTTGATTATGGAATAGATTACTTTAAAATGCTTATGGGTACCTTAGATCATATACAATGGATAATGCCATTGGGGGGTGTAACTCTATAGGACATAATTGTTTGGAGGCACGTGACATACCAACGTAACGAAAATTGTATTTATCACTTAGATATGACACACTGTTTATTCATAAGTTTTTTTTTTTTTTTCATTATCATGACGCACTACGCAGAGACGTATACAAGGAAGTCCTCAATTCACCGTGTCGTTTCGTTTCGTTTCTTGTGTTTTAAACATGACACATTCCTTTTTGATTGCACGAAATAATTTATACTTGTCATTCTATCATTAACCAACATTATCACTCACTATCACTATTAATTTACCATTTGCCAAAAATGCGCGGTAATTATTATCGCACATTTTTCTAAAAATATGTTATTATTACGTTATATTAATTATGAATATTTATTATTATTTTGCCATCGATAATTCACCGTCTCTACACTTTCTTTAGGTTTTTTATTATTTATACTATATTCTGTCAAAAAAGGCGATGTCATTGGATTTTTACCTAAACAGTATACACTTTATTAATATTGTTACGGACTCTGTCCTTCACATGTAATACAGGTGTGGTAAACCGACGACGTTCTCATGCAACAACAGATGATACGTGTTCATGGGCCAAAGAGAGTGTCCGAGTACGGACGACGTGCCACCAGTATACAACGGCGGCATCGTCCACCACCACCTAGGCCCCGACCGTGGCGACAACCATAAATAAGGAAACCGGAATCATCACTGAGGAGGAATTGAACTCAGTCAGGAGTCAAGAAAGCTACACCACCACCGAAGCACGAGAAGGAGCAGCACCCTCATCTCGACACCAACCCGTCCAGTCATTTCTTTAATGTATTTATACTTGATAACTACAACTAAGTCTTGGCCCGGGGCTGGTATCACAGGTTTTTCACTTGTAGATATAATTTGTCAACCGTGTATTGTTTTAATTCTAATAAAAAAACCACTTTTAGATCTCACACACGTGTACATCTTTCCATCAAAAGGCTGTGACCGAACGGCCTATAATAATAATAATAAAAACACCAAAATTATTTTACTTAATTTTAATTAATTATACAATATTGCTATTTTTAATAGTTACGTTCTACTGACTACTAGTAGGTACTGACTACTGGTTCCACAACTAGGTATTGATTTTAAAATCAATGATACAACCTACATTAAAATTACCTACTTAGTATTGTACTTACTAGTACTAATTTGTGATTTTATATCATAAGTACAGTTGTGTGAAGTGTTTAATACAACAAACTTTTTTCTTATCTGTGCATATAAGTGCATATCTGTCCCTAAAAAAATTTACATTTTATGTTTACATAACATAAGATATTATTTACCTTCACAAAGTTGAGATTAAATTTAAACTAGTATTAAAATTTAATATTAAATCATATTTAAGTTATATTTTAAGTTATAAAAACATGAAAATTTAAATACTAATTAAATTTATTAATAAAATGAAAACACGATAATGGCGTTACCAGCTTTAACCAGCACGTCCAAAAGTTGAATTTATAAATAACTCCTATTCAACTCTGCGGTATCGGCAGTAAGACGGCTTGGTAGATGCGATTAAAATATGTCTATCATGATAAGACCCAATCAGAAAAGAATATTTCATACGAAACGACTCGGTGAATTGAGGACTCCCCTTTATAGTTTTTAGAGGCCTTTATAGATCATGCATTAAGCAAAGTTCACAACTGCCCATGTCGTGTAAAATAATTTCTTCTGATTGGTTTATCAAAGTGTGGTAAAAATATGATCGTGTCAACTAAGACGATACCACAAATACCGTGGAGTAGAAAATCAACTTTTGATTTTACTGGTCACAATGTTCACACTGTGGTTTACAGTTATCTATTATATTTTGATTATTGAGAAAAAAAAGTTTAGTGTACTGTACTAATTATTACTGTATCATAACTTGGATTTTTACAGAAATTAATGTAACCCTCATTTACCATCATTTTGTGAGAATTGGGCTAAATTTTCATGGACCACTCATGGACGTTTTTTTTGTGGTTATAATTTGCTTGTGTTGACGAAACCGACATTTTTTTGTAGTCATTGGACATCCAACTTGATAGAATCGCACCACAATTATAAATATGGTGTACATTCTATATTTCTATTTTCTAAATCTTAAGTAATTGGTTTTACCCTAAAAAATGGTGACAAAAAATAATATAAATGTAAAATTGTAAAGCTGCTTGTTTCTTGAATGTTTTAGAAAACAAATTTTGAAAAAAATTAATACCTTCCAAGATAATGAGTATACCCACTTATAAATGAATCACCTGGTATAATATTGTAGTTTTAATATATGTATATATTTTTTTATAAAATGGTACATTAAAAGTAATAAAAAAAAACCTCCATTTTTGATGTATAAATCTTATATTTATAGAATCAATATAAATATATATCGGAGGTAAAATTGTAAAAGGCGAAGTACTATTAAGGGCTTTTCTGAACATAACCCAATGGCTTGTATGAAAAAATTTCTTAAAGCACTAAATGTTGTTGAGAAAACTTATGAAGGATTAAACCTCCATAAATCAGTATTCAAAACATTTCACAACAAATAATATAGTGTTAACACTAATTTTATGACAAATTACAAACAAATGTTCTTTTTGATATCTCTAAATCAATTAAGTTTAAAAGCTTACATCATTATAAAATTAACTTTATAAAGATAGTATTAGACTTGATTAGAATAAATGCATTTAAAATTGTATTTTCACTAATTTAACTAGATACCAATTCCTTGTAGGTACTATTAGAAATATGAAAAAAAAAACCACAATCATTTATCATTGCACTTAGTATTAAATTAATTTAAATTTACACCCTAGCATCTTCAATACCATCTATAGCAAAGCAAATAAAATTGTAATCTAAAATAAAAATTATAGTGTTGTCACTGAGTTGAAATATACAGTTTGTTTATTTTGTATTATGAACAAACTTTATGGGTAACTTCTGACTAATAATTTTTTCTCAAAATCAAGAATGATTAATAAGTCAAAGTAATTGAAATTGTAATACATTTTAACATCTTTAAATAATAAATTTACAGATATATGTCAAAATAATAATAAAAAAAGTTAATAAAATTTTTTTTTATAGTATTTTATAATTTTTATAATTACAATAATAATTATAATTTTCCTAATGATAGTTAATTATAAAATAATATAGAATAATTGTGTGCATTTTCCTTGTGTTTATATAATATGTAACTATATTAAATAGTTAAATGTTTTTTTTATTTTAACAAATCCACAAACACAATATGTGTATGTATAAATGTGTGTTATCTATCTATAGTATGAGTTTTCATTGTCTTTTAAAATTTAAATAATCAGTTTTGTACACTTAATATTATATTATAACGAGCATGCCCACTTAAACAACAATAAATAATTTCGTTATAATATTAATTTACGAACTATATAGACTATTGCGCACAAAAAATTAAACATTCATTTATTTTGTATATGTATATTTATAATAATTAATAATAATGGTATAATAGTAGTTGTAATAGTAGTAGTGTTAGTAGTAGGTAGTAGTGTTAGTAGTAGTAATAGTACAGTTGTAGTAGTTGTAGTAACATAGTACTAGTATTAGTAAACTAGAAGTAAATACAAGGCATATAATATTTAGGCATAAACACTAAACTGGGGTATTGGTTAAACAATTATTTTATTTCAAAACAACTCACAATGAAAAAAAAATTTAGTAATAGAACAAATTGCAGACATACAATAAGACATCAGAGAATACTTTTTTAATAAAACTACACTGCTGTGATTTTATAATTTAGATTATTTACAATTCAATGTGTGCAATAACTATTAAGTATCTTTGTACATCTTTAAATATTTCATATTATGTTATATTTCTAATGTTATCATATAATAAACGTCCTTGATATTTATACTACTACCTACTACAACTACTACTTAACAGTTGGGACTTATATAATAAATTATAAATACATATAAATATATCATGTATATATTTATAGGTATATAATTATTAGAAAATAACAACTTTAATTTTTAATAAACCTAATATTATTTACATACGCACATGCTTACATAGTGAAGAGGTTAAATCTAATGTAATTTACATTTTAGAATATTGTTTTAAATCTAACATAAATTTCAATAATACAATTTGCATTTGTAATGTGTGTTTACAATATATTGGTTATAGTAAAATTATTGTTTAATATCGAATAATAAAGTAATAGCCATGATTACATCATACTTTTGAATAAATTGATTAAATCACATAGTATACATTTCATATATTCTAGTGCATGTAAATAAATTAACTAGCACATTTATACAAATAGAAAATGTTTTTCATCAAGTCCTCATACAAATTAATAAATATTCACAGAACATTTGAATAAATAACACTATTGCTATTAATTTGTTTTAACAAATGATAACTTTTTTTTACACAATTTTAATGAATACATAATATTCACATAATAACAAATAAATAAATTGTAAATAAAATATACACATACTTACAACTACAGCAGCATGTGCGCACCAATAATAACACTGTTTGTTAATCTTATTATAAATATTATTATTATTCTTAACTGCTGCAGTTCTAAATTATAATATTTCAATCTTTATTTCAGTATAACTAATTTATATATATATATAAATGTGTGTATGTGTATATATTATGTATTTTTATATATAACATGCACACAAATGACAAATAATGATTACCACATATATTACTGTTGTTGGGCTGTAATTGGTACAGAATCTATACTACTTTTACTACTAGACTTATTATTATTGTCTACTAAAATCAATGATCCTGTCACTGGCTTGGTACGAAGATAAGTAGCTTGAAGTTTTTCCAACCGTTCCCATAATTCTTCCCTTTCTGTTTGCCTTTTTTTCTCCCTAAAAAATAATAAAATACAATAGTTGATTACTCAGAAGTATAAAATAGTAACACATTGCTAGGTATTTACTTTTGTCTTTCAGATTTATAACTTGCTGTTAATTCATCAAATAATTGACTGTTCATTTCCATGAAAGTTTTCAGTACATTATAAACCAAAGCAACAATAGTTTGGTTCCAATGTTCCTTACTGATCCGGTATAGAGCAGGAAACATAATAGGCATTATTGTCTGATTATTTTCTTCGATAAGACTCATAATATATTCATTGTTCCAAAAATATAATGCTCTTTCAGCCACCTGAAAAGTAATAAAAAAAAATGGAAATATTCTCTGAAGGAATAAACACTATCCCATAATAATAATAAGAAACCTCTACACCCACATTAATTGTCTCAGTCTTACAAAGGCAGGAAATAGCAAATTTTGGTTTGTAGGACAAATGCTGTGCAGTTAATTTTGATTTTAAAGCAAACTAATTTATTACCCAACATAAAGGTAAGAAGATTATACAGGCTGACCCACAAAATATATATACCCCTTGAATCTCAAGAAATAATGAAGATAATCAAATTCCTTTTCTTTTTTTTATTACTTACACTACAAATATTTATGTTAAATTTTTTTTATTTTTAACTTCATTTAATTATTTCCCAAAAATATAAGTTATTTTTTTAATAATAAAAAAAAAAATAATCAAATATAAATATTTGTAGTCTTCATCCTTGAAAGTAATTATCTTTATTATTTCCAGGGATATTCAAGGGGTATATATTCATAGGACAGCCTATATGTACCCTAACGTTGATATTTTTTTCAATATTCTAATTTTAAACATGATAAAATTATTTTTAATTTGTGATATTTCACATACTCATATCTCCTTTAAAAATAAAAATATTGAAAAAAAATCAACACCAAGATACATTTTATCTTCTTATCTTTAACTAGATGACAATAGATGTCAGTGTGATGTCCTTTTCAACTAAAAACATTAATAAAACTTAAATTAAGTGACAATAAAGCACAAAATATAATACACAACTACTGTTGTGCCCCTATAATTGTTTATTCCATCTATAAAGTTTCTGCATGGAATTTTTGTTCACATTAACTGCCCCAAACATTTTTGACCAAAAATAAATCCACTGCATGATTAAACTAATAAAGGTTATCAATAAATAATAATAATAAAAAAAACCTAAATACTAGTGTAATAAAATAAACTTGAAGAACAGAAGTACTTGAAAATGAGAGCTGGATACACAGCGAGCGATCTGTCTGAAAAGGGGAGATTCAATTTTTTGAAATTGTAATGGTTCAACCACATCAAGGATTTCTTCCATTTCCCCAAGGAACATGACCTGTAAAACATAAATATATTATAAAAGTTAAAAGCAAATATATTATTCAAACTATTAATTTACCTCTTTGAGACTACAAGTTTTTGGCCAATACTTAAGTAGCCCACGAATAACAGACTCTGTTAAAGTGCTGTCTTTTTCAATGAACTGAACAACACAATATGCTAATTGTGCATGATACAGACTTAAACATTTGACTTTGTGCAAAGGTATGAGCACTTTGACCAGAAACTGTTTATGTTCATTCTTCAAAGGGAGTGCAAATCCATTTATAATGCTTAAATAAAAACATTTGTTCAGAAATTTACCAACATATATATTTATAGCAAATTAAAAAATTAAATATATTTATACAACCTTCCTAAAATTTCCAAGAGTTCACCAACACCATTAAAATGTTCAGTTTCATAAATGAACCTAAAAAAAATAACCCAATACTAAATTAAGACAGTTAAAGATAAAAATGCTATTATATTAACCTTAAAAATATATTGTTGATTTGCTTGCGAATAAAAGCACGCAGACCCAGGAATTTTCCATAAATGCGATGTAGTACAGTCTTGAGAAAATCCCTCTCACGGGGATCCTCTGTATCAAATAATTCTAGAAGCTAAAAAGGAAAATAAACCACGATTAAGGTTAAAATATTATAATTTTTTTTTTTTTTTAATATTCCCATTATTAAATATAACTATAAAATTTTATATTACTGAAATACAAATTTAATTATATCACAATAATTAAATAAGTTGTTTTTACCTGCAACACAAACTTCTGATCAATAACTTTTTTCCCAATAGCAGGTTGAAAATCTGGCGATTCCAAAAAACGTAAAAATAATTCATAAACAAGCTGTAAATCAAAAATTACAATTATTACAGTTATTTAGTATCTAATTAATAAAAAAATTAGTGTTTTTATTTTCAATGCTAAAGTTCAAGTATTTAAGTAAATAGTGTATAAATAGTGATGTGGTGCACTTGAAAACTATAGTAAGCACCACTCTTATCAGTTTGTATTTTTTTGTCCAGAAACAAAATAAAATTAAAAAAACAATCAAAATGGTAAGAACTTACTGTTTTATGGATCACTGAATGATTAATACCATTAAAGTAATTTAACATATTGTACTTACAAAAAATTAAACTTGATAAAAAAATTTAACTGGTATTTTTTAATTTTTTTTTGGTCAATTATTAACCTACATTGAGGGACACCCAATTTATATTTTATGTACTTAGTCTAACTCAAAAAATAAAAATGTATTTTCATCAGTTCAAAATTTAAAAGAAAATAACAATTTATACACCTAAAAATTTGAAAAATGTTAACATTTAAATTATCAATTTATCTTACTTGTTAACTTAGTTAGAAATTTTAAAATTTAACTACTCAAGTAGTCACAGTGTTATAACTTGACTCTCAATCAATTATTGAATAAAACCATAACTAAATTGCTTACACCCCTCAACAAGCAAAACATGTTTAGAGAAATCTAAATAGGCCTTAAGTAGTAGGTATGGGCCTGATCATTTGCTATATATACCAAACAACAGTTACCAACACACTTAAGAACTGTGTGGACTAATACATTATAAAACATATGGGTACAACTGGTTAACTAAAATTTGACGAGTGTCCTCTCCTCCTAAAAAAACCCACAAAACATACAACTTTGTCAATAATATAATTGATATGGGATTCAAAATTAAGCAAGATATATGTTTCAAAAGTTCTGAACTTGATCAACAGATTGAACAGTAAGTTACTTTAATTAGTTACATAATGAAAAACGCATTCCTACATAATGAATCTTTTATTTTTATTAAAAAATATTTTATTACACAATATTATCCTGATTATATACAAGCAATTGCATGTTCAATAGTTTGATTATATACATGATCCCAATTAGTGTGGAAAATAGAGACTCAAATGTTATTGTTTTGTACTACCACCTAATAATATTTATATAAAATAAACAAACAATATTTTACAGAGTACCTGTTTAGATCCTTCAATTATTTACCTCCAATATTGTTTACTCTCTAAATAAATAGTAATTTTATTAGTTTAGTAGCATTATTTATCTTCTGGTTAAATTTAATTAAAATGTATTTTGTTTATTTAGTAATTTAATTATCTAAATGTAGTTGTAATTTTAAATGCATTAATATTTTTACTCTAAGGACTTTAAGAGTAGATTGGTCAGGCTGACAAATTCAGTCAGCTGTTATTACTTTTATAAAGTGTTGACCAAATATTTGATTCCCAATATTATCACTTTTTTCATTATGTGAAATTAGTTTTTCTAACTATTGTAGATTCAATACTTAAGAACAATGGAACAATTTTAAAATTTTGCAATTTGTACATGAAAGAGATCATCTCAAAACTCAATTAGATTAGGATGAAATCATTTAAATATTCAGCAATACCGCAAAATGAAAATACCAAAACACAACACTGAATTAGGGCAATTTATGATGCATTGCAATATCTGATAACTTTCAACAAGTGGCACAGAGACATAATTTGTGGTGCATCATATTTTGAGTGATGCTCAACTACTCCCCTCACCCAACCTTAAAAGTCGAATGTCTTGTCAATGGATTGACAAAACTTAAAAATTTCAACACCAATGTATTTTAGTTAATATTCCATCTATTTTGGGATTTTTAATACAGGTTATTCTTTGTAAATCAAGTCATTTCACCACCAAAATTTAGGGTGCAAAAATAATGTAAATATAAAATTGTAGAAGAGTTTGTTTCTTAAATTTTCTACTAAACAGATTCTGAATAAAAATTAATACATTCCAAGATTATGTGTTAACAATAAAAAATTACCCTATATATATAATGAAATTTCATAATTTGAAAAATATTTGACCAGAATTAAAAATAAAAATAAATTTATTAGCATAGTTTTCTGGATAAGTCACAAATATATCAATGAAATTAGTGTACTACATAAAAATATTAGGGATTAAAATACCAATTTACAAATTTACTAATTCAACATTTTTTTCAGAACACAATCCAACAAATGGGTATTACCCATATGATATTTTGAATGATCATGATTCCAGAGACAGATTTAGAATATCAAAAGTTGACCTTCAAATTTTGGTGCATATAAGTGGCTAAATAATTCCACCATCAAATTTCACATAGGTTTCCAAAGGTGGTTTTTCTATACATATTTTAAAAATAGCTTTTATGCTAAAAGAAAAATGTATGGAGTTTTTTTTTCAGTATGATATTAAAATTAACAATGAATGTATTTACACTTTATTATTCATAACTTATAGTTTTATCTTTAACTTTGTATAGCTTAAAAACACATAATATAGTTAAGTGTAAATTAATCACAATAACAACACAACACAAATCAAAATAATATGTATTATCATAAAACTTAATAATTTTATCATAATTAAATAGAACAGTATAACTTGTTCCACAATACAAAATATTTCTACTTTCGATCAATATAAATTTCACCAGAATAATTATATTTGTCAAAGACCTATCTGGAAGATAAAATACACTGAAAAACACTATAAACAGATTTTCCCCCACAATATTGACTGTAAGACATTTGGTTTACAGTAGTATTTTACATTAATAAAATCTAAATAAATAATAAAATAATATAAAGTTTAAACTTGGGCCATTATTTTTCTATATCAAAAGCTTCATTATTTTTGTGATATTATGCAGTATAACAGTTTATACTTAAGGTCCTTTTAAATAGCCATCAAATTTAAGTATGTAAATTAATTACAGATGTAAACAACTAGCAACTTTTTCATAACAGTCATAACTGTCACCACATCTATAGACTATCTGTCACAAATACCGGGGACAAAAACACAATGTTCTATAGTCAATAATTTCTGGAGACTAAATCTCCTAGATAGACAAAATGTATATTAACCGATTTCCTTGATAGAGACAAATGGAACTTGATCAACCTTTATATAGAGTTATAATACCTTATAACACTTAATACTTATCAATTTATTCTGAAGTTTATCTTATAAAAAACTGAATTACCAAACATACAAATTTGATTATATGAAATAAATTTTTGATTTTAAATAGTTAAAACTGAAAAAATAGTTATAATTTACAAAAATCTTATTTTAAAAATATTTAGGCAATAGATAAAAAAAAATGTTTGATTAATATGAAATATAAGATTTAGATTCATATTCATACTATTTAATATTTATATTTACAGTTAAATGTGGCCATGAAGCTTCTAAGGTAGGATCATCTTCTTCGGGATCAAAGTCAGGGTTATCACTAGGTGGCAGTGTTCTGAATAAATTTGAAGAGATCTAAATAAACAAAAATGTATGTCATTAGTAAATATTTGTAGAATTTGTACAAACTAAAATTTGATATTTTTTAAATAACTAGTTAAATATTATATCATAGAGGAAATATAAGGATTAATATTATACTAAAATTATCACATTTTAAATACATATCAGCAATAGCAAATTAGATATTTTCTTCAGCCAAATAATTAAATTTGTTTGGCAATAACGAAACCTTAATACAATAACCCATGTATTTTTCAATAAAATAATAAATGGAATAATTTAACCTTGAATTTTAAGTTGATACCAGTTTAGCCAATATCATGTCATAGTTAATATTATATTATGTGTATAATTCTCAAACATTAATAATTTTATTATTTTTACTTAAATTATATTGGCAGTTAACTAAAAAAAAAAAAAAATATTCAATGGACCAGATTGTAAATTACATCAATAATTGTAATTCACAATTAAAATATTTAAATTGAGGTACCAAAATAAATTTGATCTACCTGCTATGAAAAATCACAGAAAAAAAGAGTATGAAATCACAGTACAAAACTTTTGAAAAAAAAAAAAAAGGACAACACTGAAAATAGTTGATAATTGTTTAATTATATATTAGATTTAATAAAACAACTATGTTCATAAAGATGAACAATTAAATAAATCATATATTATAAACGATATTCTCTTAAGAAAAATATTTTGATAAATAAATAAATTATCATAATATGATAAAGTAAAAATGATGTAGTTATATTGAAATATACCATTTTAATGATTTCTGGATACATATTTTCTGTTAACACCCCACGTGAGGTTGATACATAATCAACCAACTCATTGAGTGTATCACGTTTGATTTCCTTGCCCTTGAGTTCAGCCATCGGGTCCATAAAATCAAAAGGCACTGAACACTGTCTGAGTTTTCTAATCATTAACTCTTCTTGTTCTTGGGATGATACATCTGGAAAAAATTGTTTCAATTATTATAAATTAATAACCCATGAACAATTTGTATAACTATTTAAATGTTTACTAACAATATTATTTGAAATTGTATGGGACATTAGAAATGTTTTTTAATAATTTTAATCTTACATTTTTATATTTTGAGTGCAGTAAGGAATGTATTGGTTTTATACTATGTGTTCTTTTTCATCTGTTTGTTAACAACTTTACTACCAAAAACTTACTCCAATCAAAAAATGACAAAAAGCTTTTTTTTTAAAATTTTGAATCTAGTTTTTGCATTGAGAAGTATTTTTTTGATTTTTCAGCAGTTATCATTATTAAGGAAAACCAGAGGGGGACCCTATAGATGAACAAATGTATGAAACATTTTTACTATTTTAGATATATATTTTTTTTATAATCCAGTTCAAAGAAATTATAAAAACCTGAAGTTTTCATTAAATACTTATATTGACTTTTTTATAAGTAGTAAATTTTAAAAACATTTTGATAGTTTTTATTGGGTCTTAAGATCATAAAATTGTTTTGCCTAATAAAAAATACTTGAATAATTTATTCTAGGGTCATAAGTTGTACTTTTGATAAAAAAAAAAAAGTAGTAATTTGTTAATATTTAAGTTTTAAATTCAAATGTATTTTTATTTATTAATTTAAACATCAAAACAGAATTTTGTAGAAGTTGATTTTAAGGTTAACTAGGACTAGGTGAGAGTGATGACAACAGCAAAGTATCTTAGATCTAAGGGAAATGGTTGAATGGGCCTAAACTAAGCAGAATTGAGTAAATGTAAAGCAGTAAATGGAAATTTGAATGTTAATCAAAAATTATGTATTTTGCATAATATTTTTTGAATTATTCAAATATCATTTTTTTGGCAAATCCAAAATATTTAAAAACTTAACACAGAAGAAGTTGTTTACTTAATTATATATATAAAACAATTTTTAGAGCGTAATTAAGTAATTTTATTTGTTATCATATAAAGTTCAAATTGTCATATACAGCTTTCCGCAGATTACGATAGTGTTTATAATTTATTGACTCCTCCAAGCATTATCACTCTATCTGCCTACACTCTAAACCATATCTACTCAATATAATCTGTGTCTTCCATTTAAATATGTGAACTCTTGTAAATCTTTATTTTTAATAATGTATAACATACCTATTTATAATAACTTCTGGTATTATTTATACCAGAATTTATATATATAAAATAGACCATAGATTATTAGATTTTATAATATGATATTACTTACAAGAAAAAAGCCACTCATTTATAGTTTTGAAACCTACCAATACAATTATCACTCTTATACATAAATAATCAGATTTCATTAATTGTCAAGTTTTCAGCATAAAGATTGCTTTTATTGCACTTATATCTACCACCACTTGGAAATAGTGGGTACAACAACCCGACTACATATTTAATTTCTATAAGTATATCTACTAAAAACACTGTAAAGCAGTAAAAAGTTGATTGTATATTATGACAAGATGACTCAAATTTTAAAACTCAGAATTGTATTTTATCAGCAATGATTTATTGTTGTGTCCATATCCTACCTTCCTACCTACAATGTACCACTATCACTCATCAGAAATTTCAGCTCTTTTTGTACACATTTTGTCCCACTAAGATATACTCACTGTATTATCTCCGACGATAAAGATAATAAAGATAATCAAGTTCTATTTTTTTTAAAATAATTATATTTTTAATTTGGTAAAAATTTGAAAATAGCCATTTTAGAGTTTATATTTTTCTAAAAATGTTGACTAATCAACTTTTTATTTTCATTGTATTTGTGATCTTTAATAATTTTTTAAAGTTTAGAGAATAGAAGTATACAGTCGATTAGTTGTAATAATAATTTATTATTAATTATATTATTATTATTATTATTAATTAACAAAATAATTTTGCATTCTTCATTATTGTTATTGTTAAATGGTTAATTGTTGTAAAATTTGAATAAACTTTTTCCAGGCCTTCCCAGAACCCCCGTGAGTAATTCGCAGAACATAGTTTAAAAACCACTGCTATATAAAATTACCATCTTCAAATTTTTCAAAAATAATAAAATAAAGTTATTTTTATCAAAACATAAAGAATTAATTTCAATATAAATAATTGTAGTCATTATCCTTATAATTAATATAAAAAGTAAGAATTTGACTATCTGTATCAACTCCGGAGATATTACAATGGGTATATCATCAAGTGACACCCTGTATATATATTTATTTTCCATAATCTAATACTAGAATAATAGGTACTTACACATTTTATTTCTTTATTTTTAAAATAAAAATTTCAGGGAAAAGGAAAGTTAATATTTATTTTACAGTCTCGATTAGAAGTCACTATGAATGTGTATGTGCCTAGTTGTTGTATTTAATAAAGTAATATTAACATTAATATTATCACATTATTATAAATGATTCAATTATAAAATCTTACTCACCCTTTAAAAGGGGTAAAGGTTGTAATTCAACATCTGAACATGTACGGTAGCGCGAAGAAGAAGATGATCCCTGTGAACGTTTCGTCTTGCGTTTTAAGACAGCAATCTTTGTAAAAGGGTCGATGCGGTCGACAAATGTTGCGGCCGCACCTGTGGACGTAGTCCCACTGCTAGCTGTAGCCGCTGAGTTTGACATGCTCTATATAAGCAAATTTGAAAACTTTTTTTTGTTTACACGTAGAGTTCAAAACAATTTTCCGTGAATTTATTATATAAAAAACGACACAAACACAATATAATAATTATGGTATCAATAACTTTGCCATTAATTTAATTTTTCTTGAATTAAGTTCATATTTTAAACTATAATATTTTCAATAAAAAGTAAATTTATATTTGAATCAACAATTGTCCAGTGTATAGACAACTCTTTTGGGTTTTTATCGAATGTTGAAAAGATAAAACATTTATATGGTGTTGCCCGTTGTATTGTTGATATGTATGATAATGTTGCCTTATAATTAAACTAACAGAATTCATGAACATAACGGTAATAGCTAAACAAATTTCTATGTGTAGGTATAGAACTATTTTTTTGATGGGTAATGAAACTTAATCAATGATCAATTCAATGATTCATTGTTTATAAATGGTATATTGTTGTAGCATAAAACTTTCTTATCTTATGAGACAAACAAAACGGGAACATCTCAAATTGAAATCTGAAAATAAAAAAAATTGAGGTATTAATTATAATTACGTGAGATTATAACTAAAATCAAATTGCAAAATAAAAACGCTTCAAATAATATTAAGAAAAATGATAACAAATGTTTTGATGTTTTCAGTGGACAGAATAAGAATTCATTGGCAAACAATAAATAGGTAAGGTACCTAACTAACAAATTGAACAACAAGTACATGTTAATTGTATATAAACCAGCTTGACATTGATGATGATATCCTGATGCGAGAGTAAAGTACTCTATAGTATATCTATTCAAATATAGATTATTATAACACCTCAATTATTGCAATAAAAATATGAAATGTACAACATAAATAAACGGTATTGTAATCTACTTCTTCCTTTTTTACACACACGCGAGCGCGCGCTCGCACACATACATACATAGAGGAACGCGCTTAAAATAAGCGACAGCAATCGACCAACCATCTAACGTTTACATACACATTTATTACTAAATAAATAAGTATAGACGTACGCAGTGCGTACTTTTTGATTTTGATTTAATAAGGTACGAGGTGAGGTACTAACCTTTGACGGCGCACGTACCCTATATTAATGTGTGGCGTTGACAGACTAAAAAACGATCGCCTCGGTTGATCAGTAAACGGGCGAACATAAAAAAACAACAATAACATTATTACCTATTATCAGAATTGTCTATTTAAGACAAACATAATTATACGCGAGCTGAACATGTATTGGCTCGGACTTCGAGATAGCTCTAGTGACGGTCTATTATGGTAAGCGATATGATACGACGCGTACCTTAAATTGATTGCAAAACATTATGTTATTGTTACTTGCACGTAAACCGCGGCGACGTACGACGACCGCGACATTAGAAAAGATAAATATTCGATAATATTAAAACATACGACAAACACACAAGCACATAATATCACGTTATTATATCACAATTACATATATAAGTATGTGCACTTGTATATTGTTACATAAACACGCGAACGAAACGATAATAATAATATTATAATACCGTACCTGTTTCGCAGTACTGCAATGACGTCGAACGTGTGATGACTACAGTTTACTACCGCGTTAGGGTAGGCCGATACGGCGACGTTGGACCGCGGTTCTCGGCGCACTCGACAGGGCGGACGGACTAGACAACCGGATGATGATAAACACGGCGGCCGCGGTATCTAACGCGCACCAAGTCCGTCGGTGAGACGCGGCTGGCGAACGAGAAAAATCAACGGGCTGCGCGCCGCATGAAAAGCGTACGCAAAATGTATAAACAACACGGGCAAAAATACGGATTACACTGCAGTGGCGACGACGACGACGACGACGACGACGACCAGTCGCTCCTGTGCAAAAAGCTTGAGCGACGCACACACGCACACACTTCTATACACACACGCGCACGCACACATACACACACTTAGATACACGGGTACAATATCATAGCGGCAACGAGACGAAACGATGCTATCACGCACACACACGTACAACGAACGCGCATCACACGCGCACACACACACACGCTCACACACTACCGCGCACGCACGCGCACGTGATTTAAAGTACGCACGCACGGAACCCGCTCACCAACATACGCACTAACACGACATTATTATTATAGTCAAATTGCACACACAAATGCCCCGCGCGCGCGCGTACACTCGGCAGTCAGTATTCGCCACTCAACAACGGTGTTATTATATATACATACGTATCGTATATTATATTATATATATATATAGTCTGTAGCCTGAACATACACACGCGCATGCACTGTACACACCCCCGACGACCGGTGTACGTGCGCGCGCACACTCAGCGCCGCGGTGGTGCTGCGGCACCGGTGCCTCCGTCGAGGCGTCGCGGTCGCGCCGGTGCCCCGCGGTATCGCTGTTAAGACGAATATAATGACGACCACGGAACGTCCGAACTATTTTCACAGCGTTGCCGGTCGCGACCCCAAAACCCCGGTCATTTTATAAACATAATATTTGATACGCGCACACAAAATAATTGTATTTACTGAATAATTAAAATAACAGCTTTTTACCACGACGGTGATATTGAAATAATTATATTTTACGATTAAAATAATATAATTGTATCAAATAATTTTAATCGTTTCTCTTCCGCCCCTCCCTCCGGTCAAACATCGATTACCTATATTATTATAGTGCGCGTACCTACCACACGTACACACAAAAATAATTAAAACAACGACCTGTACCTATTATATATATATATATATATAATAATATATTAAGTATGTTGGTTGAAATGTTGAATAGGTAGGCTACATATTATAACCAAGTACCTATCGTCATTTTTGTTTTTTTTTTGTTTTTTTTGTTTGGATTTTTGAAGGTAGTTTGGCTCTGCGCATATTCTGTACATTCGTATAAAATAAATACTTATTTGTTTTATTGCGTAACAGTGAACGGAAAAACAATTAAGAATAATGACTATTTTTAAACAATACAATAAACGTAGGTAGGTACCTACCGGACCGTTTTCGGTGATACAACAACTGACAATTAGATACCTAATGATACACAGTGAAGGAAAATACAGATTCCTTTAAGTACCTATTGATTATCGTTAATGAATTCTCGGTGGGTTAGGTTAGATTTGATTGGCATGGATACCGATATTGATGTGGATAATTGTTGACATTAGCATATCAAATAATGGTACCTGCCTGTATATAAAGATAAATGTAAAGTAGGTAGGTACTTACTAAATAATGAAATCTCGATTGATATTATAGAACCTACATTATTATTCTGTGACAATCAAGATTCTAACAATTTGGAGATCGCTGGATTGATGAACTTTTTCCGAGTAGGTAATTATGTTCAATAATTAGCTGCTGGGTACAAATAATGAATGATAGCGGATATTCGTGTGACATTAGTAATTGGATTTTATTCACACTTTGAAATATTTTGGGTACCCATTTATATTATAATAATATAATACAATATTTTAATGAAGGTACGATTTTGTTGTTTAAACATTTTGAACGTACCTATCTACTTTCTAACTATAGATATTTTGGGAATATTAAGTTAAATACAATTTGAAGTGTTTAAACCATATAGACGGAGATTGGGGAGGTTGCTTAGCCCCCCTCCCCAAATCATTTATAGCTTCACTTAAAATTATTAAAAAATAAATAAATAAATATTCTAGTTCTAGCCTTTAACCTAAATGATAGATATTAACCCAAATTAGAATGGATTTTATGGCCTATTATGTTTTTTATATGTAACAACGAATACTTGTTAAATAGGTATAATACAAGTGATGATCTTTTTGTTTTGTTCTTTGCTCGTCATTCAAATATCCCCCCCCCCTAAAATCAAGTACTCTCGAATTGCTTCCCAAATTTAAGTAGGTGATCTTTTTTTATTCGAATTGCCTCCGAAAACCGAAAAAAAAGGAAATTCGAATATACTCAAACCGTCCACTCGAATTGCCTCCCATAACATACCTAAATTATTAGTTAATATATTGTTAGTTAACGTTTACTATCGATTATTATATTGATTTCAGTAATATTCAAAAATAAAACTTAATTGATAAATTAAACAGACATGAAATTTCAAAATTTCAATATTTAAAAGTATTAGCAAATCAATTTAAACCTCGGAAACATACAACAAAACAAATTTTAATTTAATTTTGTGACTATAAAACAATGATATTTATTTATTGATTGTTTACAATTTTTTTTATTATTAATTACTGTTGTATTGGTACTGTAAAACATAATGCCATTTCATCTAAAATAATTTTTTTTTTATTGATTTTTAATACGTGAAATGTTGATACAATACATATACCTATTTGCTTTTTTAACATCGACTTAATACCTGATACCGTGTACTACTGTCATGTACCTAATACCTATGTATAAGTATAATTGTTTTTAGTTTTAAAAAAATCTATTCCGATATAAGAAGGTTACTAAGTAAAATAAAAGGCGATTGGAGTAAACTTTTTAAAAAAAAATCCACGGGAGGCAATTCGTGTGATTTCCCCTAAAATCAAATTAAATCTCTGCCTATTATTTGAACACATTCATATTTAAAAAATGTTGATATAATTGCTTTTATTAATTAGTAGGCGTGGATCCACGAGGGGGGGGAGATGGGGGTGATCGCCCCCATTCATCTTTCGAAATCACTTTAAAAATATGTTTTACATCAAATAGACAAATTAACTTTGTCTCATAATTTCTAAATAAATTAGTAAATTTTTAAACTTCAGACTTGTTTTTAATTTTTATCTGAATCTTAGTATTCTAATTATCTTTTCACGTATCGCCGTAAATCGTTCAATCGCTAATAATAAATTATTAATAGTTACAGAATATGTTGGAAAATATCAGAACACATATTATTTTATCTGTATTTCATAAAACCAATGATTTTATATTTACGTACCTGTGTCATATTAATATAGGTATTCTACAACTCGTTGATTCATATAGTCGTATACCTACTTATATACCATTAATTTTATGAACTTATAGAAATAATACAAATAATAAGCTTCCAATACGTGTTAAATAGAAAACAGATAATTTAATTTGTTTAAATTTACCTCTCCCCCCCCCCGTTGGGTGACTTCGGGATCCGCTACTGTTATTTATTCACCTATTTATTTATTTAACGTTAAATTTACTTTTCCTGAATTTAAATTATATTAATATTAATATGAAACACACGTCTTTAGGTAGGTACTTATAGAGTTATCATAAAATAATAGATATTGTTCTAAATATAAGGAGCATAGACGCAAATAACACAGATATTTTAGGGGAGTTCAAGCCCCCATAATATTAATTATGTATACTTAGTATTTAGTATTTATTTGATAAGAACTTGCATTGGGGAGGATTGATTTAGTTTTTAGGGGTGCAGGCTATGATAAGAAAGTAGGTAATAAATAAAATAATTTTATGAAGAACCTATAGTGCAATAAAATGATCTCTTTGGTGCGGATTATTGAACAAGCAGCTTTTTCAGACGATTTACATTGTTTGAAAAGATTAAAAATAATCATTTAATTAATAAAATTAAATTAAAGAATATTATTAGGATTATATTATATTGTACCTTACATATTATTTTTAGACAGTGAATACTGTTTATTATTCAAATTTATCAATAAATTAATAATAATAATAAAATTATGCGATTGAATAACTTTAAAAATATGTTTTCAACTATCAAAAAATAAAAAAACATATTTTTATCTATAACATAATATAATAATTGTGTAATAAATAATTATTATTAAATGATTAATATTATATAGGTACCTATTACAATGTTACTTTTTTAACGGAAATTTATAATACGTTTTGACAAATTTGTTCAGTTAAGTATTTAAGTATTTAAGTATTATTAACACATAAATTATTTGATAAATCTTATACCGATAACCTATCCCTTTCAATATTGAATTACGGAGCAAATGAGGATAGTCAGTGCAACTTTAAAAAAAACCATGGTTGTTATTCTTTGTTATATTCCAGTTGTAAGTCTCTTGTCCCACATGATTCACCAAATAAATAACAGTTACAGTATAACCATTCAATAAAAAAAAAAGACGTCCTAGGATAATGAGAACGGGTGCAGCTACTGTTATAGATAATTTAAAGTATACTTGTAAGCAAAAATAAACCATTGCTTATGAAAATATGATTCTTAGCGGAGTTCAGTTGATAATGATGCTTTGTTAACAATATATTAGTAATTTTATAGTAAAATAATTAAATGCCTTTATACATTTTCTTTAATAATATACGTTTAATGTTGTATCAATTTTCTCAGTTTTTCTACGTTTTTCTAGGTTTTCCCATGTTATATCTAGGTTTTTCACATTTGCTGGAAAAACTTCAGAGAAAATCGAAATGACCTCTTTAAAGTACCTCGCTGGTGAAATTTTCTTTTAGAAAAATTGCTATCGTTAAAAGTTGAAGCAAAATTGCTGGTAGAAAAGATGTACAAAGAAAAAAAAAAGCCGTAATATATTATAACTAATAGCTACATTTCTTAGATTTTCCCGTTATTTTTTCGGTTTTTAAAATTGTATGAGAAAACTCCTGAGAAAATCGAAAAATGACCTGTTTAAAATACCTCGATAGTAAAAGGTACACGTAGAAATCCGAGGAAGTTTTCTTGTTGAAAAGTTGTGCACAGATAAAAAAAAAAAATGAACATCTTTGTAAAATCATAAGCTTTTTTGCTCCACTCAGAATCTAAACATTTAATACAATTTTCTATTAAATATTATTATCTTATCGTTGATTAATAATCAATTGCCAATTATTTTTAATTAAAGACTGCGTAATGTTTTATTACACATAAAATGTAATGTATTTAGTCTCTCTTTACTCAAAGGGGACTTAAGACTGGCCAGAGAGGGCTTAACCATTCTCTAGCCCCTAAATTACGCCAATGTAGTCGAACACTAGTTAACTGTACAAAATAAAAAAAGTTGGAAGAATTTGATAACCGACATTAATGAAAAGAAAATAAGATACATATACTTATCATTTAAAAAGTATTAGCTACCTATAGGTCTTATACATATTAACAATAATAGAATTAATCCAAAGAAAGTAAAAAATTTGGAAATTGTAAAGGGAAAAGGTAAATTGCGAAAAGAAAACTGACGGGGAAAACTTTAAAAAGCAATTTTTGAGAGTAAATAGAGTGAATCAATATTTTGTTCGTGTTTATCTAAAACAGTTAGATTATTTGGAAGTCTATGGTTGGCCAATGTGTCCAACTCAAGGAACAAAAGAACAGGTGTGTGAATATACAGTAGGTACTTAATTTTCAAAATATAATAAATACTATTTAAACATTTTTTCTGAACTCATAAGTATTCTGTGAAAAATTCAGGTCTCCACGATTATTTGTTACAGGTATCTCAAAAAAAAGACGAACATAGTTCGCACGTCGGTTAGACCACTGACTACTATTGTACGTGAGAAGTTGGGGAGGTAGAATATAGGTTATTTATTTTATTAATTTGTATTTTGTACGCAACGACAAACTATTGCTGATGAAAAAGGATTCGGAGTTCCGTTATATATGTTAAGAAAGGCCGACATAATATTTACGATTTTCGTTAAAATTTAATATTAAAATTTTTTTTAAAAAAATTCTACATAACGCTCAATTTTTTTTGTTTTTTTTTTTACCACAAATTATGATTTATAATGAACCTCTTGTTAAATATTCAAGCATTTCTGTTTGGTCAAACAATTGTATCCACAGAGTATTTACAGAATAAAAAGACGTGCATACTTCGAACGTAGATAAGCCACTGTTGTAGGTGAGAGATTGAGAAGGTACGATGGAAAATTTAATGTATGTATGAACGCAACAATTAACTTTTTTTAACTAAAAACGATTCTGAGCGGAGTTCAATTTATATTGTTGCTTTGCCAACAATACATATATATATATCATATTATGATGAAATAATTACATATGCAATATATTATTATTGTTATTAAGCGTTTATTTCAAAGAATAATGGGCCCCACTGAGTATGCTCGTGTGGGGGTCCTTAAGGACTTATCTTATAATTTTTAAAATTTTGTTTCTTAAAGTTAGTTAATCATAGACTTAATGGTAGAGATACTTAAATATTATATAATTATTTTCTTTAATTATATTTATTTAATATTTTATCTATTTTCCCGTTTTTCTTAAGTTTTTTCCCATCCATTGGGAAAACTACGGGAAAATCAAAAAAAAAATGACCTCTCTAAAGTACCATACAGATAAAATTTCCTTTTAGAACAGGTTCTACACTTTCAAACCAAGATCTCTGATAGTAAAGTTGTTTACAGGCAGAAAAAAAGCATATATCAGAGTAAAATCAGTGCATTCAGTGGGTGAGCCTCTAGCCTCTATAAACTGTTTCAACCGTCTAAAGGAGGTTCTTGAAACTATTAAGACTAATTTTAGACTTATGAAACTAACTTAAATATATACAATGTAGGTAATAATAATTCATATTTTTGGGCCTATATACAGGGTGTAACAGGACTATTTGACATTTTTACATTGTAGTTACATGTAGAAATTTCAAATGGTCTAGTTACACTCTGTATAGGTTATTTTTAATTAGATAAATTACTGATGCCTTATGGAAATTTTTTTTTAATGGTAGAACATTTTATTCTTTATACAGATACTCCATGTGATACCAATGATTCTTTTTTAAAATAATTTAATGGATTTAGTGTTATATCGTAGACGGCTCCCCTCCAAATAGAAATACCATAGTGCTATGGATTCTACTAGAGATTGGTATACAATTCTAATTTCCTTAATTTCAAGTAAGTTAGCTAAATTTTTGAAAGCATAGATTATTTTTCTTAGTTTTATATATATTATAATGTATATAAATTTCGTTTTTAATTTAACTCCTGAAATCAACGGCGGATTCAGAGGGGGGAGGGCAATAAGGCTATTTGCTCTACCAAAATTTGCATTGGTATAAACAGTTTTACCCCCTTTAAAAAAAAAATAAAAAATAAAATAAATAAAATAGATCCGCCATCATGTTACATTTTATAATGGATAGTTGATTATTGATTATTTTTTAAATATAATTACACCATTAAAAAACATATCTGTTTTTTGTTTTACTAACCTAAATTTTGATAAATCCACAGTTCCTTAAAAACATTTTTAAGTTAGGTACCCAACTACCTAATCATTTTTTAGTATTTTCTTTAAAATAAAATATTTTAATGTGTAGAAAGTGTATTAAAGAAGTTATGTAATAATTTAAAACTGGTCTGTTATATAACAGCAGTACTATTATACATATATAGTTAGCTACAGCTAAATTTGTACAAGTTTTTGGTAATGTATCCCAAAAGATATGCACTTGAAATGTAGGTACGTTAAAAAAAACTCAAACAACTCAAAAACAAGTTCAACATTTTATTCTGGTAATTTTGGTATAAAAACTTATTAAGCAAAATAAAACTTGCGTACATTATTTCTATAATTATAAATTAGTAACTATATTTTAACAATTTTAATATTAAAGAAAAAGTGTAACAATAAGTTTTTGTTTTTAAATATATCCAAATTTATTATAATTATATATTGTATATATATATATACAATACAAATTGTGTGGAAATCAAAAGAAAATACACTAAAAAAAAAAATTACAAACAATAACAAAAATTATTTTTATGTTTTAATATTATAATTTTCTATTGCCACCAGTATTTCCTGTAAAATAAACATATTTTATTAATAAAATGATAGGATATACAGAGTGATTAATCCTCAGAAAGTTAATCCTTTCTATCCAAATATTTTTTTTTGACACTTTAAGAACAACATCTCTAAAATACATTTCTGTTATTTTCTGTCACCCTTATCTGTGCACAACTCTTCTACCAGAAATCTTGCTCCAATTTTTAAGTGTAGCACCTTTTCTAAAAGGAATTCAATGAGAGGAGGTACTTTAGGGAAGTAATTTTTATATTTTTTCATGAGTTTCCTCATTAAATGTGAATTATCTATGCATTATATATTTTTTTTAATAACATATCTATTTCCCCCATTTAGTATAAAAATCATTAAAAAATCAAAAAATTACTTCCTTAAAGTATTTTTTCAGGCAAATTTCCTTTTAAGAAAATGTGCTATACTTTATATATTAGAACAAAATTTTTGGTTTTTTTTTTTAAAAAAATAATAATAAAGAAATATCATTAAAAAATCAATACTTCCCTCGCTCAGCTAAGAATCTAAAAAACAACCAATAATATTTCTGCAGATAATACTGTTAAATAAAAAATTTACTTAAAAAAATAAAAAATAAATAAATAAATGAATCTCCTGGATTATCAGCAGATATTAAGTGTATTATACTGTTACAAATTAAAAATTCATTATCAGGTATATTACAGTATTTTACATTGAAATAATTTATTTTAATAGGAGAGATTATTTAAAATGGGTTATTATTAGACATAGATATGTTAAGAAATATAAATTATTTGATTATTATTTATTATCTAAAATGTATTGATATAAGATATTACTTTTAAAATCATTTTAAACATTTAAAATTGTTTTACAATTAAATTCCTTTATTTTATTATATATAAGTAATTCTTCTAAAACTGAATTAATGTAAATGTTATTTTGGGTATTTGATATCTCTAAGTTTGTATTAATATTAAATTATGATATTACATATGACTATTTTGTCATATTACATTATGATTATTTTCTAAAACATGTTAAGCAAAATTTGAATTAGAGGCAGTCTTTTTAAATTTTATTTCAGAAATGTGTTCTTTATATCTTATTTCAAAATTTCTATTTTTCTTACCCATATCAAAATTTATTACATTTACATTTAAGTTTATATATACTGAAATTTATTTATTTTGGAAATAATATTCATACATTCATTTTTTTTTTTTTATATATATATTTATTTACGAGTATTAACCATTTTAATAATTTTATTTTTACTTTATTTTATTAATTATATATATATTATTTTTTATTGTCCTAAAAAATTAAAGAAAGTTGCATAGATTGCATAGATTACATACTTTATTTTTGTATAGGGTAAAAGTGCAGTACAGGAAATAAAATAATGATAATAGTTTTAAGATAGAACAATAATATTGCTGATTTTTTTTTATAGTCTAATATTATAATATTATTAAATTCTAAAAAAATAAATACATTAATGAATGAGTTGATAAAAAAGTGGTTTTCTTAAAATCCTATTATTTACAAAAAGAGATGTATGTCATTCCATTCCAATAAAAATAATTAGTAAGTTACTTAAAATCATACAAATTATTAAAATTAATTTAATATTAAAAAGTAATAATTACATTTGGATAAACTTACACTTTCGCATTGGGGACATTTTCCTTGCAAATGTTTAAACATTGGTGTACTCCCTGAATTCAAAAGCCACTAGAAAAAATAACAATGGCCAGTGTTTATGTATTTTAAATTATAAATTATCTGTCAATTTAATTCATAAAATTATACATGAAGTTGCAATGCAATCATAATTTAATGATCATGAAATCATGAATGCTTATCAGTTGTAACAAGCATTTTTGATCATCTGTATATTTAGTTTATCATTTCTTTAACAGTTACTTTGAAAATAGTATAAATAAAAATTTACTTGACAAATGCACGCCATATGATATAATGAGTTACAAATATCACAGAGTTTGCTTTGTTTTTCTTTAGTCATATCTAATTCATCATAACATATGCAACAATTTGATGTATCATATTCTGATTCTTGTTTTTCATAATGTGAAAGGCTTTGAATTTCAAATATATTAAGTATATTTTCCATAAAACTATTTTCAGTATTCCAAATTAAAATCTAACAATTCAAATTTAAACAAATTGTTAGTTAAAGTATTTATCTAATATAATACAAGGAAATATTTATGTACTGAGTATATCTAAATATGTGACATTAAGAAATCTGATATTTTGAATATAACTACACCGAGGTAGTCTGAAAATACACAGATTAATATTTTAAATATACATATTTTCTCTTCACACAATCAAAGGTAAAATTTTAATATCCTATTATAATTTGTGAGGAATGCTAGCTGAAAATAACATGTGTTTGAGCTAAATATTTTTGTTATTGCAAGTTTTTTCTATTTTTCTAGCCAGTCATAATTATTAAAAATGTTTAATTAAACATATTTAAAAAAAATAAAATACAGAATTTTAATTAAGTAAGTACTATAGGATAAAAAAATTAAATTAGGTTACATTGTAATTTTAACATATTTGCATATACTTATAAAAATATATACTTTGAAGTAGATATTAGGATTGATACTTTATCATATTTATGTTTTATCATACATAGTAAATTACTTTCTATGGAAATTGTTTAATTGTTTACAAATTCAATATTTGAGTAAACAAAAATGTTAATAATGAACGTTCAAAAAGTTTTTTAAATTAATATAGTAAATTTAAATTTGTGTTAATAAATAATATTTTAATACTTGATTATATATTACATTATTTATATTAATTAAAGAAAGCAATTTGTACAAATGAAACACTAATAATAATAATATTTAATTGTGTATTTATAATTTAAAAACACAATATTGCCTATAATAATAAGCAATGAATTTTCCTTAAAGTCCAGATCTAAAAAACATACCTTTTTAATTCATAATAAATATTATTAAGATGCTTAATAATAATATTTTTTTTCAATTATATAAATGTATTAATGTACAGTTAATTAAATTTTACAAGCTTTCAATCCAGAATTAATTAAATAGTTTTAATATATGTAATATAGTAAGTGGATAAAATAGTTAATAAAATAACATAATTTTAAATATTGTAGGTATTCAATACTCTTATGGAGAATAGACAATCAAAAGAAGAGCCTCAGGACAAAGAAAATGAATCTCATAGATCATTAAATTCACTAATGTCTCCAAAATCAATTTCTACAAGAAGCATATATACTAATGCAGACACTTCAATAAATTTAAATAATTTGTTATTGGAAACAATTCAAACATTAAATAACATGCGAAATATAATTAGTAACTTCGATATCCAACAAAATATGTTACTATGCCAAATGGATAAACAAAGTGACCAAGAAATAAAAACAGAAAATTTACTACAAAAGAACAAATCAATTATTGACAAATTTTACAATGGTAATAATATAGTGAATGATTTACTACCACCAAAAATTGAATCTAAACAAGTAAACACAATAACTATGGTCAAATACTATTACCTATGTGATCAATTTATATTACTGTATATTAAGGAATAATTGTATTATAGGTAGAGCCTAAAAATAAAGATACAAAAACAATAACTAATGAAATAAAAATGCTAGTTGAATTGGTAAAAAGCATTTTTCAAAAATTAGATGATCCAAATTATGTATGTGAAAATACTGACTGTCAGTTACTAAGAGAAAATGCAATAAACTCTAAAATGAACATAAATTCAATAAAAGCAAATAAAATTAAAAACAAGGATTCTTTTAATCAACAAAAGGATAAAGTTCAGGGCAATTCAAGACCACTTATTAAGATATTTAAAAAACAGGATCAACAAATGGAAAATCAACAAACTGATAAGAAAATATTTAAATTATTTAATAACAAATCACAATGTACCTGCTCTCTGGTTAAAGAATATTATAAACAAAAGAATTGTTTATACATTCATTATGGTGGGCGTATATTAGACATAGATGTCTCAAATGAATCTTGATTTCTTATAATTAACTATTAATTCATCAAATTGCAATCAAAAGAGCAACAAATTAGGTTTTAAAATAAAAAAAAAAAATTGGTTTTAATTAAATTATCCTTTTGTTTATAACATTTTAAAATTGCAAACACAAATATATTGATATAAAAACTAAATACCTAGTTTTCTAATGATGTTCTCATATATATATAAATTAACTAATAACTCAAAAACTAATTGTTGAATGATGGTACCATAGTTACATGTAAAAATCTACAAAAATATTGATTAAGTACTAAATATGTATTTCAGTAATAAAGTTTTTATTAGAACCAGATGTATATGTACTTAAACAAAAAAGCCCTAAAAAATTATTTTAAAAATATTTAAAAAAACATTTTAGGTAGAGAGAGGGGTTTAAAAGATTCCAGTTTTTTGTTTCTGACTTATTAAAAATAATTTTCTTCAAATATATTTGTATGTATTATAAAAATACAAAAATGCTTAGTGTTAATCATTTATCAGTGTTAACAATTTGTATTTAATAGCATTAGAACTGTTAGAGAGGTACTTTTAAAATTCTTTACTACATTAGCTTTATGAATATTTTTAAGTACTTTTTTGATAATTAAGGTGCTTTTGAATTTTAAGTGCATATATATCAGATCTATAGGCACTTAAAAACTCCATTATAGCCCTGAAAAGACATTAAAAATATTTTTAAAATGAATAAATATGAATGAATAAATACTAGTAAAAAACATTTTTTTATATACTTATTGTGAAAATAAGCAAAAAAAAAAAAAAAACAATAAATTTGAAATATTAACATGAAAATTATTTCATGAAATAATACTAAATAGTATAGTACAAAGCATTCACTGTTAGACAATCCCAAACCAAAAAATAATCAAATGCTGTAAGTCTTGAATAAGACTTAACTAGTAACTAATTAACTAATATTTATAGTTTTTGTATGATATTTTTACTTGAACAATTACAATTACCTTGACAGTTTCAATAAATATTATAGACTATAGGTAATAAATACTAATAATTAAAGTTTGTTTTATTAATAATATAACTAACTGGATTTATTTCATTTAATCGTTGTTGAAATTGTTTTATGGCGTCTGGGTGACCATGGAGATTAAACTTTGGACAATTTTTTGGATTGAATGGATCCACTAAAACTTCTACATATGTATGTTTATCTTAAAAAAAACATTTTAAATATAAATATAATAATATAATTAATAGAAATTTTAAGAAAATGATAAATCTTGTAATAAATACTATTTAAAATCAGTAATATATTTTATTCTCTTATAGAAAATATACAAATCAAATAAATTAAATCATATTACTAAAGTAGTGTTAAAAGTTTTACCATACTATAAAATAATTTTATATTATTTACAAAATACCATTATCAAAAAATTTTTGAGTGGGTCTGTTGTACTCAAAATAGTTACACAGCTATTTAAAATTATGTTTAAATGAAAAATTTCATATTCGTTAAAAATAATAATGAGTTTATACCAATTGGCACTTACTTATTGATATTTTATAGTTAACATCTTTATAGGTATAAGAACCAATAACATTGCATGAGCAAATTTCTTCATGTAAATCCCAAAAATCATTTAGCTCACTAACTGCAATTTTAAATTGATCAAATAGTTTTAAAATTGTATTTATCTAAAGAATGAAAAATAACAATAAACATTCATAATTTGAAGATAATTCATTTTTATATTCAAAATACATACAATTTGTATATTTTGAATATAATATAATATAATTTTGATTATATTTAATATAATCTAGGAAACTTAAGTTAAAATATTTGAGTCCCCTCTATAGATTGAAAATTCATACCTAAAGAATATTTTATTAAATTTTAGTTGATTCAAGAAAAAATTATTTTAGGGCATTTTAAGTCCTTAGCCAACTACAATAATTAGTCCAGACTTGTCCATTAGATAAATAAGTCATTATAAAAACTATACATGAATTATTTACTTTTAAAAGTGAATCCATAATAACAGGTGGAACCAATGTTTCAAAGAATAATGTCTTTCTTTTAGTTACAGGATATTTATCATCATGTATAAAAATTTTTATAAAATGATCACGTTTACATTTATCCAAAACATTAAATGTTACACTTCTCAAGTTCTCATCAATTGAATGTACATATTGACCATATAAGTTAATATCTTCAATTAAAGTATAAAATTTGTCATCAGGATATAATGTATTATTCAAATTTGGCATGTTTAAAAAAAGGTTTGATTTCCAAATGTTACTCTAAAGGACAAACAAATCAACAACAATGAAGTATGAGCATTGTATACTAAAAATATGATTTAATTTTGTTTTTAAAAGTAATACAATACTAGTTTAGCATTGGTTTTTAAGACTAAAATGGAGATTTTTTTTAAAAACCATATATATTTATAAACACAATTTCTATCCCTAAATTATTTAACATTATAAAACAATAGAAATTTGTTAAAACTATAAGTTAGAAAATTGATATTACCATATATTCAATCAATTCCTCTAAAAATTCTGATAATGAACGAATCTTTTGTTTAATCTAAAAACAAAGAGGATGGATAAATAATTTATACCAAAAATAACATAAGTAGTAGGCACAATTTTCTCATAAATACATATAAATATATAATACAGGGTCTGACAAAAACCACCCATATTTCAAAAGGCAATTAAATATAAACAAAGATACAGAAAAAATTATTTTAGTTTTGAATTACAAATTCCATGTCATTTTACACTAAATAAAATAATTACTTAGTTTTAAACATTACGCCCATTAAATGGAGTCTTACATTGTTGACACAGTGATGAAGGCTTTTTTATAAGTCCTTAAGTTCATGCAAAGATGCACGAAGAGTTATGGGCAATTTCTGGAAAAGCCTTCATCAATGTGTTAAAAATAAAGGACTACATCTAATGGGCGTAATGTTTAAAACTAAGTAATTATTTTATTTAATGTAAAATGACATGGAATTTGTAATTCAAAACTAAAAGAATTTTTTCTGTATCTTTGTTTATATTTAACTGCTTTTTGAAATATGGGAGGTTCTTTGCAGGACCCTGTATAGTCATGGTTAGGCAAGATATTGAAAAAATACTATCTTAATTTTGTATAAGGAATACACAATTTATATACTACCTATATATACTTATATACTTATATATATTACCTTACATAAATTCAAATAGGTATCCAAGAAAACAGACATAAATGATACAATTTTTAGAACAAATTTAGTTTAAAAAAATAGAATTTTTTTTTATTTCAAAATGTGTGTACAATAAGAATAGAAAAAAGTCTAATGAACTTCTTTTGGAAATTATTAGTGAAAACTTTAAAAAGATTGGTTTTTTCATAGTGTGCTATTTAAAATAAAATACTTATGAGTTGTAATGCAAATATTTTTTTTCTCAAAAAGTGAGGTTTTTTTGTTGCTAAAATCAAAACTTAGCACTCCTTCACATTTTGCCACTCAACAGTGCTTTGAAGCGTTTACAATCTGTATTTGTGGTCATGTGTGAAATTATCCATTTATCCCTGTGTTTATCGATCATTAACGCTAAGTGAAGGGGCCTTTACCTATGATATTTACTTTTAAAGTTATTGCACATAAACATCTAAAAATTGAATTTTGAATTAATCCAAAATTAATTTCAAAAATACTTGAAAATTACAATTTTTTCCACAAAAATATCTCTTGAATTTGTTGCACAAAATTATCTAATGTAGGCGATATAAAAACAAAATACATTGAAGTTTTTCACCAATAACTTCTATATCAAGTTGTTTTAGATTCCAAGAGGAACAAAGAATGTATTGGTTTTATTATGTTGTTTATTTCATTATTTTTTTGTTACTGTGTATACAAATTCTACCAAAAATGATAGGATGATACCAAATTTTATTTTAAATAAGAGTACTTATCTAACCAAAAATCTTTACCAGAAACCTTGATTTGATGTATAAAGTCTAGTATATTTTTTGAAATTTTAACTATATTGTGCTGTAGAGAGTTAATTTTTTGATTTTTCAAGTGGTTTTCATAATATCTGGGAAAAACATATTAAAAATGGACAATAGATATAAAATTAAACAAATATCATTAAAAAAAATATACATATATAATGCATAAGAATTTATTTTACCATAATATAACATATATATTGTTGACAAAGCAACACTATCAACTGAACTCTGCACAGTGTTTTTGTTAGTAATAGTTTATCATTGCTAACAGATATACATTCAATTTCCCCTCTAATACCTTCCTAACTTTTTAGATATAACAGTGGCTGCACCCATTCCCATTATCCTAAAGAAGTCAAAGGACACTTTTTTTTAAAAAATTCTTATTGTACCTGTGAAATCACAATTTGAGAAAAAAAATAGTTTATTTCATATTATCAGTTGTGCAACTAGGGGGGTGTTTTGGGTGTCTGGACACCCCCCTATATCCCTGTTTAAGTAATATAAATATATTAAAAGATGTGTTTTTTTATGCAGACATGTGACAACCTCCTTCAAAAAATCCTGGTTGTGCCATCGCATATATTATTTTATAAGAAACCTCAATTATAGTTTTATAATATATTGCCTCGAAATCTTAATTAAAATATTCTTTGTAATTTTTCAATTTTTTTCATCATTAATACATGCAGGTATAATAAAGATAAATATTAAAATACTACCCAACTCTAAATATAATTATAATACATAAATTATCTAATAAAACATCTATCTATAACATTAATTTCAACTTTTTTTTAAACACAGCACCATAAAAATTATAGGTGCAGGCAATGCAAAGCACTGGGTTCTACCAAGTTAATTAAAGAGGCCCATAGCTGTCAACAAATGTTTTTTTTTTTTTGTTTTGTTTGCACATTTCTTAATTGCACATTAATTCAATTTATAACAATTGTATAATTATTTTGTGTTTGATTTCATATAATGAAAATGTAAAAACCTGATCTATTTTGACTTGGAAACGTTTATTTAAAATATATAAGGGGAAATTACTCAACCTAGAGTGACACAAAAAAACATGATTTATTAGTTATTATATGTGATACCCATACAAATAGGATACTACAGTGCACTCAAACTCATGCTGGTGATTTTCAATGACAATATCTACCGATTGACAATAGACAATAGATACTATTAATGCTGTTTAGCTAATAACTGTTATTGCCTTTTATTCTGTAAAATATATCATTAAATATTGTGTAACATACCAACTATTTATTGCATATTATTACTATATAATATTTAATATTATACCTACATTATTATTTTTAATATATACAATTATGAATTTAACACTTCTCAGTGGTAGGGTTAAAAGAAAAAATAAACTCAACAAATACATTTTTAAAAACAAATAAAAAATAAAAAATAATTTTGAATGCAATTGACATGTTAGAGGTAAATTGTTTTCAATAAAATATTTAGAAATACCTTCATATTCATAGGAATTTTAATCATAAATAATTAATGTAGTTAGTAGGTATCATTATTGAAAATCTAAGTATTTGAAGAAAAAGCATAAAATAGAGATTTTTTTATAAATGTTATACTTATATAATATTATAAACCATGTTTGTTCAATTAATAATCCTATTATATTTTGGTCTATTTTTAATGACAATTTTGGTAAATTTATGATTTTATATTTTAAAGAAGAAATTAAAAATGTAAATAAATCCACTTTTAGTACCAAGGTTGAACTAAGCCACCAGGACACCGAGAAATCTTTTAGTATGTCACAATTAAAATTAGGCAAATCTCATAAGGTTAGCCGGTGAGGTATGTAACCAAAATAGGTTACATAACTAATCTTATACAACACAAGATATGATTTAGTTGTTAAGTTAAGCTCTAAAATAGTGTTCGAAGAGCTGGCAATTAACTGCTAGGGATTGCTGTACACAATCAAGGGAAAGTTGAAACTATTGAGGTGCCTTTAATATGCCGTAAATCAAAGGTTACAGTAGGATGTCAGTAGAAGAGTATTTATTTATTTATTTTGAAAATTAATGCCTAACGATAATATACGTAAGGAACAGTATAGACAACAAAAAGGTATTTGAGAATATTTACAAATACAACTGTTATACAGAGTATTGTAGATAGAATGTAATAAGTTAAATTGGGCCCAGTAAAATACATTTTTTCCGGCCTGTTTTTATTAAGTCCAACCTTGGTAGGTACCTACGGAAAAACTTAAATGTATAAGATTTAAAGTACCAACTATAACTAATTAAATAAATATAACTTACTGATAAAACAGTTTCCTTTAAATCAAATCGATGGAAATTTGACAATTCAAATTCGGGAATGCAAACTTCCAAGTTTTCAAGTGTTTGAATATTACAGCAAAATATTTCTATGTAAATACTTTTCATCTAAATAAGATAATTTGTTCATAATATTAAACATTAAATTAATAACCTATATAAAAGTTAACAAAAATACATTTTATTAATTTTTAAAACTAAAAACATTACGTTTAATAATATAATATGGCCTTTCCAAGTTTTAAAATTGTTACTAGGAATTATAAAAGGAAACTTCCCCAACATCTTTGCTTCATCCATCAATAATAATATTACCTACAATATTATGTTTATCACAAATGAACAATATCCAAAATAGATATTTTCTTTGAAATTGAATTAACGAGTAGATAGAAATTTATAAAAATAACAATAATTTAATTTAAAGATTTATAAATAACTGTAATTAATCTAATTCAATGCCCACGACTGTCACCAGTTGCTCTAATACTCAATACTCGCGTCTCACACTGATTTAGTGGTTTCATAGATAATACATATTACAGCTTAATTTTTGGCCGCGTTATCATTACATTTAAAGATATACTGGTTACACAACGAGCTATGATAAGAACATAAAATTTGGTTCCTGCATTAATCATTGAACTATAAGATTACTGGAACGCTCACCAAGCAGTGTCGCCCGAGCGAGCATGTTAAATAGAGATGGCGAATACTTTGGTATATCTATTTCTATTTAACATACGGCGCTAATGTATAATTTTATTTTATATCGCTTTATGTCTAGTAATAACTAATTGTATTTACTACCATTAATTATAATCGATGATATCATCTTATTCTGTCATACCTGGTATATCTTAAATCCTGTTTAAAATTTATAACTTGGTCAATCATGATTAGAGAGGCTATATTCTAATGATATGCACAATCAAAAAAATGATAAGAAATCGTAGTCATCGGTCTGCATGAACACCAACGTTAAGAAAAGATTGTTTCAAATTATGTATTCATGATAACCGGTCTTGTGCAAAACCACGTTGTAAAAGTAGCAGAGAAAAATTGAAAAACCATTACAGGAAATAGGTGAAACTAGAGACCCAAAGTGGTCACTCTCTCGTTGTGCTCACTGTGACAACGAAAATAACCCTCGATTTGTTATACAAAACCACGCCGGGTAGGTAACAAGAAAATCTAGGGATAGCCTAATCGCGTTTCGCGATAACGTTGGTTTTCACACGGACTAGAAGAATTTAAAACGGCTGTTCAAAGAAACTATTCATCGGATTTAAATGTATGATACATTAACATGTTTAGAATAATTAATTGTACAGAATAGACCATCTTAAGATTTCCCCAAAATAATAAAATAAAGTTATTTTTTTAATTTTAAGATTTAGTTCAAATATAAATATTTGTTGTCTTCATCCCTGTGAGCAATAAAAATAAAAAAATTGTATTATGTTTATTTTAGAGATATTCAAGGGATACAACTTCGTGGGACAGCCTGTATATGTATATTCTTTGAAGATTTATCAATTATTTACAATTATTCAATTAGGTGCCTGGCAGTAGTGGAAATAGTGGGAGCGCATAAAAAAAACTGAAAATATTTCAGCCGAACAGTAATTTAGCAGACAAATATAGCCGAAACATATTTTATCCGAACTGTATTTCAACCGACACGTATTCTATCCAAACCGTATATAAAGGTAGGTTTACACAAGACGTAAGCCACGAGCGTATTTCAGGATCGCGTAAGTTGTGACTCACGAGCGCGGTTTCAAAAAGCGTCTCATGAATCGTGAAGGTGTTTATACATTAATATGATTTTAGTTCAGTAAGATGGAGTCGTTAGTGGCGGAACAATATTCTATTTTGTCTGGTGTGTTGGTTCAACAATTGAAACAACGATTAACAGAAAGTGATAGATCTAAGTAAAAAGTAGAAAGAAAAGGAGATGGTAGGTAAGGCAATGGATTTAAAAGCGTAAAAGTTATTGCAGTTCTATGTTTATTTCATGCGAATTACGAAATGAATATCCGGAAGATTTCAAAAACATTTTAAGAATGTCAGATACACACTTTGACTATTTGTTGAATAAAATAAAATTCAAGATTCAAAAAATGGACACAATAATGAGGAAANGATGGTGGAAGCAATGGATTCAAAAGCGTAAAAGTAATGGCGGTTCTATGTTTATTTCACGCGAGTTACGAAATGAAAATCCGGAAGATTTCAAAAACATTTTAAGAATGTCAGATACACACTTTTACTATTTGTTGAATAAAATAAAATTCAAGATTCAAAAAATGGACACAACAATGAGGGAAGCTATTCCAGCAGATATTAAACTCAAATTAACACTTCGCTACTTAGCAACGGGTAATTCATTTAAAAGCCTGAAATATTTTTTTAGAGTTCCTAAATATACCATCAGTTTATTTCTACCTGAAGTTACTGAATACTAATNTTGACTATTTGTTGAATAAAATAAAATTCAAGATTCAAAAAATGGACACAATAATGAGGAAAACTATTTCAGCAGATATTAAACTCACATTAATACTTTGCTACTTAGCAACGGGTAATTCATTTAAAAGCCTGGAATATTTTTTTAAAGTTCTTAAATGTACCATCAGTTTATTTCTACCTGAAGTTATAGTTCTGAAATATACATAGCTCTTGCAGAATTTATTGAAGTAAGTCAAAACAATTTAAAATATATATCTATATTGTTAGATTTAGTATTTTAAATTTTTAACATAAATAGGTACTTAAATTGAAAAATTAACAAATTAACAAAAACAAAAAAAAATTTTAACTCATTAAAAAAAAAAAATAATAACGAATACTTTCTTTTATAATATTTTAAATTAAATTAAACTAAATTCTAATTAATATAAATAGAAATATTTAAAACAATTTATAGTTGTGTATTTGATAACTCTGTAAGCATATAGTCTTCGGTTTCTGATAACAGTTCATCAAACATAGCTGGAGATCCGAAATCACTTGTATCTGTACTAGTTTGAAGGCTAGATCTTTGTAGTTCATGAACTGCATTTTGATTATCATTTTCTATGATTTCATTCATATTGGTCATCTTTTGTTGNTGATAGGTCTTTTAATACTGATGCAATGTATTTTCCAAACTGATCAAAACTGTCTTCTTTTTTACTATTTTGAGCCAACTTTTGAACTCTTTCAGCTATACCATCTAATTGTTTAACTGCAGCTAACTCAGTGTCAGTCTCACTAGAACTCGACTTAAAAGTCTCAAATTTTCTTTTCTTCAAATTCCAATCTCTTTTTGTGGACTTTTAAAAAGTTTTCTTTTAATAGTTGTAATATTAGTATTATTTGCATTAGTACTTATATCAGGTTCTGTTAAATTTGATTCTAGTTCATTGATACTGGATTCTACTTGAGAACTATTATTTGAGTCATACATAGCTTGATTTTCTTGGTCACTTTTTTCACATTACTTTTGTTTTCATTTGATATCACCTGAAAATTGAATATTTTACAATTTTAAATTTTAGGTGCCAAAAACAAAAAATGAATGGGATAAAATAAAAAAGGTTATCAAAAGAGATGGAATTTTCCAAGATGTATCGGAGCAATGGATGGAAAACACATCCTCATTAAAGCACCACCTAAAAGTGGATCAGAGTTTTACAACTATAAACACCAGTAGAGTATTATATTATTAGCATTAATTGACCACAATTACTGTTTCACGTACATTGACGTTGGTGCAAATGGAAAGGCATCAGATGGTGGTCTATTTCAAGGAAGCTGTTTTTTTGAAGCATTAGAAAACAATATTCTAAATACCCCAGACGATGTTGTTTTTGTAATTGATGATGCTTTTCTGCTCAACACGTATTTGATGAAGCCGTACAACAGAAGAAATTTAACAAGAGAACAAGCAATTTTCAACTATAGATTATCCAGGGCTAAAAGAATATCAGAAAATGCTTTTGGTATACTTGTGAGCAAATTTAGAATTTTCGAAAGACCAATCCCATTGATAGCTCATAAAGTCGATAAAATTGTTTTCGCTTGTTGTGCAATACATAATTGGTTACGAAAAACAAGTCAAGTCTATTTACTACCAGGTCTTATTGATCACGAAGATTATAACTATGAAATCACAAATGGATCGTGGAGACAAAATCAAAGTTACATCGTAGATTTTCAACCAACAAATCACAGAAATGAATGTACAAATGCTAAGAAAATTAGATATGACTATTGTGCATATGTCAACGGAGAAGGAGCTGTTATTTGGCAATGGAATTAATTAAATAAAATCAACATATTTGATTTTTGTAATTAATTATTGAAATATATATTTTAATATTATACTTACATAATTTGAGCATGTATCTCATATAATCACATACGGTTTTAAAAATGAGTTCATTTTGGTAAACCAAACTACGTGTGATACATAAACATCTTCTAAAGATATTCCAGATTTTTTACTAATTTAAATTTTTTCAATTCTTGGCAATGTGAACTTCTTAAATTTTTAAATTTACTTATAACGTGATCAGGTCCAAAACCTTAAAAATGAAACTATTATTTTCTTTAGTTGAACTAGATGTATCAAGTAAATATAGACATAATCAAATAAAAATAACAAACCTTCAATATTCATGCCTAATACTATTCTTTTCA